CAGAACAATTGAAAGACGAGCTAGCGGCTCGAGATGAGCCTTCCTCCCTTGAGGAGCTAATAGCGTTCGCTATTCGTATAGATAATCGCCTCAGGGAGAGACGGAGGGAGAAGGAAATCCATTCCCTGGTCCCTAGAATAGACTCCCCTTCCTCTGTTGCAGTCAGCGAGTCTCCTTTGCAGCCCTCAGCTCCTCTGGCTCCGACGCCCTCCACTGGAGAACCCATGCAAATCAGCCACACCTCCTCTACCTCCAGCTCCCCCAGGCGTATCACAGTCCCTGCCTGTCTCCTTTGGGGAAAGGAATCCACTTCCCTCCAAACCCTCATTGACTCTGGGGCGGACGATAACTTCATTCACACCGGACTGGCAGCGCGGCTTCAGCTCCCCCTGGAGGAACTCCCGGTTCCTCGTAAGGTCACCGCTCTCGATGGCAGAGTAATAGCCTCCATTACACACCGCACCTGCTCCCCTCACCCTCATCCTCTCACCATCGGGAGGACATCCGGCTGTTCCTGCTTCCCTCTCCTCACTCTCCCCTGGTACTGGGACTCCCTTGGCTGCAAATCCACAACCCTCAGATTAACTGGTCCACATCTTCAATCTCCGCCTGGAGCCCTCACTGTCACTCCCACTGCCTCCGCTCCGCCAATCCCTACATCCACCGACAGAGGTCAGCATCTCCACCGCCATCTCTCACCTCGGTTCCCCCCGTTTACCATGACCTGGCAATGGTGTTCAGTAAGGAGCAGTCTCTTGTCCTTCCTCCTCATCGCCCCTATGACTGCGCCATAGACCTGCTCCCTGGCGCACCTCTTCCCAGTAGTAGACTATACAACCTCTCTCGGCCCGAACGAGAGGCCATGGTGGAATACATTCAAGACTCCCTGACCTCTGGACTCATCCAACCCTCATCTTCTCCCCTTGCTGCTGGCTTCTTCTTCGTGAAGAAGATTCCTCTCTCCGTCCCTGCATTGACTTCCGTGGATTAAATGACATCACCATTAAAAACAAATATCCCCTGCCACTCATTGATCCCTCCTTCGAACCTCTCTGTCAAGCCACCATCTTCTCAAAACTGGACCTCCGGAATGCCTATCACCTGGTTCGCATCCCGGAGGGGGATGAGTGGAAGACTGCCTTTAACACACCCATGGGCCACTTTGAATACCTGGTTATGCCCTTTGGCCTCACCAACGCCCCTGCTGTGTTCCAGACCCTCATTAATGATGTCCTCCGTGACATGATTACCAAGTTCGCCTTTGTCTACTTGGACGATATCCTGATCTTCTCCCGAAACCTGGAGGAACACCAGCAGCACGTCTGACTCGTCCTTCAGCGCCTCCTCGAAAACCGCCTTTTCGTGAAGCCCGAAAAGTGCGAGTTCCACGCCTCCTCCGTCAGTTTCCTTGGCTACATCATCGCCCAGGGGGAGCTACGCCCAGACCCAGAAAAAATCTGTGCTGTCCGTGACTGGCCCACTCCCTCCTCCCGCAAAGACCTCCAGCGATTCCTCGGCTTCGCTAATTTCTATCGACGGTTCATTAAGAACTACAGTAAGGTGGCAGTTCCCCTCACCCGGCTCACATCCCTCAAGGTTCCATTCTCCTGGACCCCCGAAGGACTTTCTGTCCGGCGGGCCAGTTCCTCATCTCTCAAAATTCATCCCACATTCCATGTCTCCTTGTTAAAACCTGTTGCCTCGTGCACCCTGAGCCCTCCTTCCGTCGCCCCTCCACCCCCCCGATTGATTGATGACCACCCTGCCTTCACTGTAAGGAAAATCCTGGACGTGCGGCCTCGGGGGCGAGGCTTCCAATACCTGTTTGCCTGGTCTGGCTGTACTCTTTTCCAGAGCTTCCTCCCCTCCCCCGGCGCTGAGGCTGAGTGAGACGACACACCTGCTCCTCATCTCCAATTAAGGGACTTTAAGAAGCCTGCAGCCCTCAGTCTCAGCGCCTGAGTATTGTCTACCCTTCCTAGCGGTACAGACGCGTCTCCTGGCCTTCCTCGTGGTATAACTTTGAGAACTTTGCTCCTAGTGACTCTTTTTCATGTTCTCTAACTCCTGTCTCCTCTGGTTTCTCCTGCAGTGTCTCCAGCCCACACGACAGCCAGCCAACCAGCCAACCACCCGGACTTCCTTTGTTTCCTTAGCTATCCCTTTCTGTTTTGGACATTAAATTCGCTTTACGTTGATCCCTGTCTCAGTGTCTGCTTCTGGGTCCTCACTACGAGCCTGCCTCACAACAAAGGATTCTCCATTTTTTCAAAACACTTATCGATTTTACACTCAACTTCACTTTTGTTAGGCTCCACTAATGACAGACACTTCTTCACAGATTCTTTTGCTAGATCATAGACATCACCAACAATCTCCTCCATAGAAATCACTGAAGAGTTAATGGCCGTTTCATCTACATCTTCCTCTTTAAGTTCAGCTAGTGTTGTAGCACAGCTGTCTACAAGACTCTTGCTGACAAGGACAGAGTAAGAAGGGAGTATTGCTCAAGGCAAATCCTCTAAATAACTTAATGTTACGTCCTCACTTGTAGAGGGGCCCCCGCCAGGATCAGAACACTGATCATTATGTGCTGTGTTAAGGTGCTTTCGAAATCCAGAGAATGTTTCATAAACCTGCGAACAACCAGACTGACCACACTTAAGATGAAGAGTCTTTGCTGAGCAAAGTCCATGAACCAACTTAAAGTGCTTTATCAGGGTATAAACATCTGCCTGGTGACATTTGCATAGAAAACACATCTTTGTACCAACTCAGTGCAGCATCCGAGCCCTCACTTCAGCAACCCTGAGACTCTCCTTAGTGGTAGAAACATCTATTTCATAGACTGGTTTGCAAGAAGTTGTACACATTTGCCAGGTTATGGTTGTACAAGGTACCAAAATCAAAATGAGCTTTAAAAAGCTCATCAAAACAGGCAATAGAGTCCACTGACTTGCAGGTTATGGCATGTATGTCAATGATGATTAAATACTTGCTTATCGTGCTTTTCTGGGTTCCCACAGCCAGAAGATAAGGTTGACAGCTTTCTGTGATGCTGTCTAGATGCCCTTGGATGCTGGTCCCTGTCTGTGACACAAAAACGTAATTTAGTTTTTTCACGATTCACAGTTCACTAACATCTTGAGACAATATATTTAATCTTAAAATTATTTTAACATCTTCTTGAAAGGGGATGATGGTTTGAATAGCTGAAATGGGAATGTTACAATATTTCCTTTATAGATAATACCAATACAATTTGTCCAATAATATCTGGGCTTTGAGTATCAGTTGATGCCAGACCAATATCACTATTGGTGATGGGCATTTCAAGCAAAATTACAATTAGAAAAATCACAATTACTCAACGCCAACAATTGTCAACTATTCAAACTGTATTTTTATTTTTAAACTTAAAAAAGAGGTTTTAATAAACTGCAGCAAATGCTTATCTGAAAAACAGTAGATTAAACTGGGATCTGGGAAAGAGATATTTTTTCAAATGTTGTGCGCACTGCTGAAGCAATGAAGCAAACAGACTGCACTCGACTTTGGAAACACTGTGTTTTACCAGAGTAGTTGTTGTAAGCTGATAAATCACGGAGCTTGACTCTCAGCACAATGCAGTACTTTTACATTTCAGTGAGCAAAGCACACATTTATTTATTTATTTTGTCTTAGACAAAATGATAGGCACCTTAACAGATAAATGTAAAACTTTAAAACTATATTTTAAGATCATTTAACAGCTGTTTTTAGTACTAATCAGTATAGATTATTAATTGTAATCACTGTTGTGTGGCCTAGCTCAGTTTAAACCCATTTTAAAACATGAACAGAAACTTAAAAATAAAAGCTACAGAATTTTTAAACCTAAACAGCTGTTTTCCTCCCTTAAGTATTCCTGCTTTTTTGCATGCTGCATCTTTGGATGCTTATTAAATTGTTGGTTCTCAAATTCATACATCTGTTATCTCCCTCTGTATTGTAGGCTCTCTGACTTTAGATATAAAGGACTATTGTCCTGCCAACAAGCACTTTTTTTTTAAAAGATACCTACGCGCTACCTGTGGCAGCCAAATCTTCCAAATTGCATTCGACCGTAACCTCACCTTAATGAACTTCACAAGATGTTCACAGGCTTCTCTTGCAGACAGCTTTCCTGGTCTCTTGCGGCCATGAGGTGATGGTGGCAGAAGGTGGACAGGGACCAAAATAGCTGACATTTCCCTGTCCGATCCTGAAAAGTGAAAATTCAGAAATGTATATTCACTAATGAGTCACTACATTTCCCTTTAAAAAAAACAAACAAACTCTTCTTTTACTATAATACTTCCAGCATACCATTTTCTACTTCTTCTGGAGCTTCAGCATTTTGAACCACGTCTTAAAGTTCAGCTGTCTGTGTGAGGCCCCGGCTTAGTTGAAAGACTTTCCTTTTTTGGACTATGGCCCACTTCTCCAGGAACCTTGCAGAGATGGCAACATCAAACATCAGACTGAAATCCTGCTCAATCTGCAGACAAGATGGAATAAGTAAAGACAGAGCAGTAAGCATTACTAATACTGTTGTTATTGAGGATATTCACAGTTTCAAACTAAGGGAGTTGAGGATCCAAGTTGAGGATCCTGGTACGTCTAGGAATCTTGGAAACGCTGTGAATATGTCGGAAGACTTCACTGGGTCATGAACCATCTTGGCGAAAGGTGAAGGTTTGCTTCATCTTCTCCTTGACAACTGCTTCATCCGCCTCTAAAAGCCTCTGAACACAGGGAGTCTGTGCTTAGCCAGTTCTCCTCCAGAAAGGGTTCTCGATCACCTTCTGGACCACCTGTAACAGTGTAGACACTTTGCTGACAAAATAAAGCACTGATCTGACCCATATTTAAGTGCTTTGAATATTTTCTTGCACCCCTACAAGCCCCTCATATAATCATTCTTCAATCATAAACCATGAACTACACTTTCAGTCAACGTACAATTAAAATGAGCATACCTGTCTGTGTGAGCAACTGTCGGCCAGTCCTCTTTTGTCCCTCTGATGCTTCCTTTTGGAGAGATTTCAGTCTCTGTGCCAGATACCCACTCCCATCTCCTGCATTGTAAAAATGCTCCTACAGTAAAAAGACATTCAGTTTGGTTGAGCAGGATAAATATATTTTTAAACTTTTCCTTTATAATATACATATCCACAGAAAGATCTGCTCAATAAAGGAGAAGAGTTTAACATTTAGCTTTTTTATGAAAATGAAGGTGGGCAAAAAACAAACAAACAAACAAAAAAATTAAGTTGGACTGAACCACCCAATACAAGCAGAGTATGTTTACTTTTTACAGTTTAGGAGCCCCAGAGAACAGAGAGGTGAACGAGAAAATGATTAAACTTAGTTTTGATTAACTTACATAGCCAAACCTGCCCCTAGGATCAGCCAAGTATGGAAACAAGGCAGTGATGCCCCTTGCATATTCCTGTTTGTCCTCGAAGGACTCGTCCTACACATGCACACACAGATACATAGACATCCCTTAAGATCAAATTTTAGTATTACATGCATCTGAAACCTGCAAAAGGATGGATGTTTTACAACAGAGACAAAAAAAGATTTTTACACGTAGGTTTGCAAACATACCCATGTTCACTTGTCATATGTGCAACCAATATCTTGACCAGATCACGTCTTCTGGAATCAGTTAGGCTTTTTGCCCGGGCATATTCATTCAGGATCCTCTCTCCTCCAGGCTTCGTACTCAGAATGTTTTCAATTTTCTGAGCAATAGTCAGATTTTTTTACTTTATCATTTAATCAAGAAACAATTAGAGTGATGATGCTCAGGTTAGACTTTCTCTAAAACTTTTTTGAAGTGCGTTATAGGAATGTATGCTAATTTCTGAAATGTACACTACACGCCAAAAGTTTGGAAGCAAGGACATTACAGGCCGAACAGTTGGGAGTAACTTCAAGTTTTTGTTCACAATGCTTTTTTTAAAATCCAGCATGAGTTTTATGTATTTTAGGATGTATTTACTCCATGATCAGACGTTGCTTTCATGGAAATGCACCATTTTACTTCATTTACCTTTAGATATACATTGAGACCATTGCTAAATATATGTCAGCAAAAGAAAATAAGGCCTTAGTTTTAGGGTTGAAAACATTTGCAAGAGTCACAACTTCAGTGCAAAAGCAAAAAAAAAACAAATCACAGTTGGATTATTCACTTCAACTTTTTGGCTTTTGAGAGTCTGTCTACAAAAATCCTAATAAATATCAACTGCGTTTAAACTACCGCAAACATGGCTAGAAAAAAGCAGCTGAGTAAAGAAACAAAAGTAAATATTTGTACATTGAGGAAAGAAGGATACATAGAAAGAGAAATTGCAAAACGCCTTAAGGTGTTTAACAAAGGAGTCCACTACACTCTGAGGAGACTAGAGGAACCTGGAAGTTATGATGATAGAAAAAGACCTGAACAAAAGAGAGTTACTACAAAAGCAGAGGATAAACATAGCATTGTCACCAGTAAGAGAGATCGGCAAAAGACAGCACCAAAAATAAGGGAGGAAATCAACATGACAAGGTCGAAACCCGTATCTCTGAGAACCGTGAAATTACATTTGAGAAAGGCTGGTCTGAAGGGTTGTGTATCTGCAAAAAACACTACTTCATCCACAGAACAATAAAAAGAGATATGAGTGGGCAAAAGCTCACAAAAATTGGACTTATGATGACTAGAAACAAGTTTGCACTGTTTCATTCAAAAGGCAGAGTCTATGTCCGCAGACAAACTGGTGAACGTCTGAAAGCACCATGTGTTACACCCACAATTCAGCATGGAGGTGGTAGTTCCATGGTATGGGGATGTTTTGCAGGTGATGCAGTAGGAGCTTTGTTTGAAGTAAAGGGCATCATCGAGAAGGAACATTACCACTCCATCCTCCAGCACCATGCTGTTCCATCTGGACTCAGACTTGTTTGTTTTGCAGCAAGACAATGACCCTAAGCACTCTGCCAAGCTCTGTCAGGGTTACCTAGACAAAAAAGAAGAGGAAGGTATTCTTCATAAGATGGTTTGGCCCCCTCAGTCTCCAGACCTTTCTCAATTGAGCTTGTGTGGGATGAATTGGATCGATTGGTCAGAAAAACGCGTCCCACAAATCAGCAGTCTTTTTTTAATGAACTTAAGAAAGCTTGGAATGCAATCCCTGGAACATACCTTAAAAAACTTGTGGAACGAATGCCTGGTATATGTCAAGCTGTTGTTAAAGCCAGAGGAGGTTACTTTAAGGAAAGCAAAGTCTAAGCAACAATAACTCAAATACCTAATAATTATAGTCAAAATGTCTTCTGATAAGTTACTATTTTAACTTCAACTTTATTTCATTTATATGGCACTTTTCATACAAAGTTGTAACACAAAGGGCCTTACAAAGCATAAAAAGAAAATGAAACATTAAAATCCCCAAGAAAACCCCAAACCTCCCACCCGCACAATTATACCCATACACACACCCGTGCACATAGACATACATTTCCACACACACAACTTCACAAACACACGCACCTACACAGTTAGCAGCTGATGGTGAGGAGACATGACTGGGCACTGAGATCTGAGGTGAGGAAGACGCTACCTTTGGGGGCCACGTCGACTGGGAGGCATCCCGGCCCATTGCTGCAGGGGGCGCCGTCACAGGGACCACAAGCCCGGGCAGACAGGAGGCTCCACACCAAGGTGTAGAGCTCTCTGGTTCCAGCCGGGCCAGAGCTGTCCCCAGAACAACGCCCCCACCAACAGACCAGAACCCGCTCCCGGTGAAGCAGCCCCAGGAGGAAACACTGGAAAAACTGAGGGACTAAAAGAATAAAATAAGACATAAAAGTATAGAAACTAAAACTGAAGGAATAAACTGTAATCGCTAAGACAGACCCAGTAAATAAAAAATGATTCTGTGCACTGTAAAACACGCCAGACTAAAAATAATAATAATAATATTGATAGATTGAAGTATAAAATAGAACGGTAATAAAAAGTGTTAGATAGTGAAACAATAAAAGTGAGCATAAAAGGGATTAAAAGAGTTAAACTAGTCAGTTAAAAGCCTGATTAAAAAGATGAGTCTTTAGCCTCTTTTTGAAAATATCGGCATTCTCTGCAGCCCTGAGGCTCTCTGGGAGGCTGTTCCACAATCGGGGGCCATAATAACTGAATGCCGCCGCCCTGTATGTCTTAGTCCTTACTTGTGGGATTTTTAAGAGACCAGCTCCAGAGGACCTCAGGGTCCGTGAGGGTTGATAAGGTAAAAGTATCTCGGATAAATAAAACGGCCCAAGACCATTAAGACACTTAAAAATTAAGAGGAGAACCTTAAAATGGATCCTGAAACATACGGGGAGCCAATGCAGCGATTTTAAGACAGGAGTAATGTGCTCCCGCCCTCTGGTCCTCGTCAGCACACGTGCGGCTGAGTTTTGTAATAATTGTAGGTTTTGCATGTTCTTTTTGGGAAGACCAGAGAGCAGGGCATTACAATAATCCAAACGACACGAGATAAAAGCATGCATCAGCACCTCCGTGCTGGCCTGAGAGAGAAACGGGCGGACTCTGCCTATATTCTTTAGATGGCAGAAACCTATCTTTGTTATGTTTTTGATATGTGGAATAAACGTGAGCTTGGAGTCAAAAATCACGCCCAGATTTTTTACAGATTTTGAAGGTTTAAAATCCTGTAACTTTGGTAAAAGTTTCTCTCTCTGGCCTTCAGGACCAATGACTAAAACCTCTGTTTTGTCCTGGTTGAGCTGCAGGAAATTTGCTGCCATCCATGATTTAATGTCTAAAATGCAGTTAAAAAGGGCATCAATTGGCCCTGTGTCATCTGGAGACACGGCGATGTACAGTTGCGTATCATCAGCATAGCTATGGAAGCTGATGCCGTGCCTCCTGATGACATCCCCAAGGAGTAACATGTAGAGGTTGAACAGAGTTGGACCTAGAATTGACCCTTGGGGAACCCCACACTCGATTTTATGGGTCCTTGAGGAACATGTATCCATACTTATTAAGAAATTTCAATCAGTCAGGTAGGACGTGAACCACTTAAGAACAGTACCAGAGAGGCCAACCACATTCCGCAGTCTATTTAATAAAATGTGATGGTCTATTGTATCGAAGGCGGCTGTTAGATCCAGAAGAACCAACACTGTGAGTTTGTGGTTATCTAAGTCACATCTGATGTCATTTAAAATCTTCAGAAGTGCTGTCTCTGTGCTGTGGTTCCTCCTAAAGCCAGACTGATGAGTCTCTAAAATATGTTTTGAGTTTAAAAAATCATTTACTTGGTTAAAAACGAGTTTTTCCAGAACTTTACCTAAAAATGGTAGGTTGGATACAGGCCGGTAGTTATTTAAAACACTGGGATCCAAATCACTCTTCCTCAGAAGGGGCTTCACCACCGCCTTTAAAACGGCGGTGGGGAAGACACCCGTCTGAAGAGAGCAGTTTACTAAATACAACAGCTGTTCCTCGAAGAATCCATAGAGTTTTTTAAAAAACGGTGTGGGAATTGGGTCTAAAAGGCAGGTTGTGGGCTTTACCTGGGAGAAAACTCGACCAAGTGTCCTCGCATCAACCAGGGCAAAACTTTCCAGTGCTTCCTCAGGTAAACTCTGTGATCCAGGTGTTAAAAGCTGTTGGGATAAAAGACTGGATCGAATGTCATCTATTTTTCATCTGAAGTGGTCTGCAAAATCCTCACAAAGGACATTATCAGGTGTTATGGAGGATCTTTTAAAATTTTTGTTTGTTAAAAGATCTATTGTGGAGAACAGGAATTTGGGATTATTTTTATGGTTATGGATTAGATTTTGGAAGTGGGAACTTCTTGCTTGTTTGATTGCGTTATTGTAAATCTTAAGAAGTCGGTGTAATATTTCATAATCCACTGTCAGCTTTGATTTCCTCCATCTCCTTTCAGCACTCCTGCAGTCCCTTTTCAATTTTTTAATGTCTTCAGTTCTCCACAGGGATGTAGGTTTTGATTTGACTGTTTTTGTAAAAAGTGGAGCCACTGAGTCCAGTGCTGACTTCATTTTGTTGTTCAGGTTGTCAGTGACAAAATTGCAGGGTGCTGGTAAAATTTCATCTGGAATTCTCTGTAAGATCTGGATAAAATTTGCAGCCACTTCAGAAGTTAAGTAACGTTTACTGTTCTCACCGGGGCCTCCCTCTGATTAAAACTGGTGATTGTAAAAAAGACACAAAAATGGTCAGACACAGCCAGGTCCACAACAGAGGGTGCTCCAATGGACAGACCATAAGATATGACTAAGTCCAAGGTGCGCCCCCTGCTGTGGGTCGGCTGTGTGACATATTGGTTAAAATCAAAGCAGTGTAAAAGGTTTAAAAATTCTCTGGACATTGGGTCTGAGGAGATGTCCACATGTAGATTAAAATCACCAGCTATTAAAATCCTGTTAAAAGTGGCATAAATAATTGATAAAAGCTCTGAAAATTCCCGAATAAAAGAAGTGGAATACTTGGGAGGTCGGTAGACAGTTATACAGAGGATAGGTGGGCTGCTAAAAACGAAGGCATGGTACTCAAATGATGAGTAGCTGTTAAAAATGACTTCATTTGTATGCATGTTGCATTTTGTAATTGAGGCAGTACCACCCCCTCTTCTGCACCCCCTAGTTGAAAATAAAAAGTAAAAATTTGGTGGGGAAGCCTCGGTGAGAATAACAGGTGCATCAGTGCCAAGCCATGTCTCTGTAAGGAGAATGCTGTCCAGGTTATTGTCCGTAATTATGTCATTGATGATAAAAGATTTGTTTAAAAGAGAGCGCACGTTCAGCACAGCCATTTTAATATCTGTGCTGGACGTGCGCTCAGTGCATTTTTCTAAGGGAACATTAAAAACACATTTTGGTCTAAAAGCAGTCCTCCTCTTCCTAAGTAGTCTATGTGTGGTTATGGTTGTGATGGTGTAAATCTTGTCCTGTGCCACTGAGGGCACAGAGGGAGGGGCGTGTATAGTGTAGGTAGGGAGTGGTGAAGGTGAGTGTAAATGAGGTGCAGAGGGCCTGTGTGCAGACAGTCAGGAGGTGGTTGTGTAGGACCGGAGCGTCAGGTCAATATTTACTGATAAAAGCCTTGACCCCTCCTGGTTCAGGTGAAGGCTGTCTGATTTAAAGAGGTGGGGTCTGTTTGAAAAAGCAATAAAATTGTCCAAATATGGGATACTTCTCCCCAGACAGAAGCCCTTACACAACAGTCATGTTTATTGTGTTGCAAATTATATATATGAAACTATTATCTTTTTTTGTACAACTCTGATCTTGCTTCCAAACTTTTGGCTTGTGGTGTATATAAATTTTTCACAACTTTATTTTGAAAAATATTATGGATATCTTTTTATAAAAATGTCTTCAAAAGAAACGGCCCATCTAAAAGTTTAACAAGGATAGGCAAGTGCTGTACAGTAAAACATGTCAAAACTTCAATTCATCTGTAATTTATCACTCACAATCTTAACGTTTGAAATAGTGTGTTTAAACATTCTAAAAATATGCAAGAAAATCTACTGAGCTCACCTGAGCTGAGAAGCATCCTCATTTGCACATCTTTGAGTCGGACTGGGCTGCAATATGATGGTGCTATCAGAATCCCCCTCATTGTCTCCACTGAAACTTTCATAGGAGCAACTTGCAGAGGAGCTCATTGAATCTAGCAAACATGTTCAGATTTGACAGGTGAGATTAATACAAAACTTAACACAATGTAAATCCCATTTAGGTTTGGGATTGAGAGAGACAGGTTAGCGCAGAAAAAATGGCGTAAAATGAAATGTGACTGTTCACTTTGATTTACTGCTTCAAACTCCAACATGATATAAATTTTATGACAATGTCCAGCCCTAATTCAGAACATGTTAAGTCAGGCAGAAATGTATGAATGGATGTAAGACTCAACTCACCATCAGGGTTTGGTTTTTCAGGCATACATATCTCCAGAACTCCAAGGTCTTGACTCCTTAGAAGAAACTCAAACCCCTTCTCATCAATTTCAGTTTTGGAGTCATCATATACTTTGACGTCCAGGGTTGGAATGTCAAATTTCTTGGCAACTATGATGACAACATAAAATTGCATTACTGAACATTACTGATGGATTTGCTGTGAATCAAGAGTAAATCAAAGGGCACCTTATTTTGAATTGTTGCTGTAATCTCAAAACTGACTCAATTCACCCTTACAGGTTAATCCTACCTTCAATTGAATTATTTTATTTAATAATTGACAATATACAGTCAAAACAAATGCCACAATTAGATGCACTGTACCAGATAGCTTCAAACTAATTTGACTTCTGTACCCATCTCTAGCACATTAGTTGGGAATTTGTTTGGTTTATTCAATTAGTAGAGTGATATTTACCTGCTCTACTAATAAAGCACCCTGAGATTACTGTTGTGATTTAAAGCTGTATAAATAAAAACTGTTGCAACTGTTCTGTCAGTTTAAGTATTATAGAACTACACCACAACTAGAATCTCCCTTTTTAATTATGTTTAAGTTAAATTAATTTAAGTTAAATTAATTTAAGCTTGAGTTATAAGTTGTATGTAGTTGGTGGGCTGTTGATGACAGATATTCATCTTTCTTTAAGAAAGATCATCTTTCTTTAAGAAAGATGAATATCTGTCATCAACAGCCCACCAACTACAGCCGACTGGACGGAAGTTAAAAGCAAACTTTATCTATAATGTCTTTGTGGAACATCAGTCATGCCATCTTGTTTATGAAAAGTTGTACTGCAACCATGTAAATTTGAAAAACCCTTAAAAAACTACAAACATATGAAGCTCATGATTTAAAAAAAAGGATGCAGGAAAACAAAATCTTATTTCTGTCGTTCGTAAAATATTTTCCACTCACCACATTCCATAAAGCACTTGAAAGTCAGTTGCCCTTCATAACAAATGTACTTTTGACGATCGCCGTACTTGACTCTTATCGCCCGCATCCTTGAAGAAAAGGAAAGAAAGTTAATGTAAATTATATAATCTCACATGTACACACCATCTGGTAGTTTTACCAGTGAAAACTTGAAAGAATGTATTATCAGCTCATTAGATATACAATCCCTCAATAACAAAAAACTACTATCTCTGAATATGCAAATATTAAAACAGATAGGAGCATAGTGTTACGCCTCTAATGAGGATACTTTATACTGTTTAAATTTAACAGCATGATCACAACCGCAGTAAGTACAAGAAACCATCAATGACTATAATGGCCAAATACCAAAATATTAAATGTTTGGTATTACTATATATACACATAATTGTATAAAATACCATAATAATAGCTTGCTATATTAACACTACAATGACAATTTGTCACAGATCTTTGCCTCAGACTGTGCTGATTGAGGTTTTTAAGTGGGCATAACGAAACATTTACAGTTAGACATACACACATCAGTGATCACAATGCATGCTAATGATTGTAGTGTTCAGAAGTTGATTTGCTCCTTAATCAAAAAGACTACACATGGTGTACAAAATGCAGGGATTTTAGCAGTAAACTAAATTGCTCTGACCAGAGTGATAAATAGAAAAGGTTATGACGTGTAACATCGACCAATATTTTCAATTTAATTCAAGTTTTGTGTTAAACTTTTAAGAATGACACTGTGGTTGATCTTTTGTGTAGCACATACATTTTTATTCCTGTTTTATTTTATTAATAACTCGTTTTTAACATTATTTGCGCCGTGTCGCCATAGTAAATTACCACTCAGTTAACTGGTCTCCTTCAAAGTCCCGTTCAAAATCACACTCCACATCACAATCACAGCCTTAAGCTTTTAAATGTCATAACATGGTTATATTTCATTCCGGTTATGTTTTCTGAGCATCTTTCCCACATGAATGGTGACAAAAACATGTTAGCATCTGTGCAGCTCCGTATCATGTGTCTCCTTCTCTTAGCGTTCACTTTTGGTCCCTTAATGCACACAGCGCCATCTACTGCATACGGACTGACACTAAGGACCAAGTCACCAGACCTACTTGAAAATGAATACTGTAATTTTAAAACGGTTTAGAGTCCCTAGCTGTATAAATTCAGATTTTAAAAAGAGAGCAAGATATTTTAATCCAGTCTTTCTAACACCTCTGCTGTTTCTGAAAACCAAAAGTGCAGCTCCATGCTGTCCACCTTACAACAAAGGGCCATTTGCTCACATCAAAACAGGGTTTTTCATCAAAATTCCAGCATGTTATGTTCTGCGTAAAGTAAGGCATTCTGTTAAGAGCTAAATACACATGTTCCACCTCAATTCTCACTAGCAAAAGCTCACGAATCCCCGTTGATATGCTATGGCCTTACTGCTCAATTGGTTGTACTTAGCTGCAGCAGTGGTCTTCACTCCGCACCAATTCAGTCAGTCTGTTCAGGGTCAAATACACTTGTTTGTTCTTTATTCTCACTAACACAGGGGCTCACGAAAATACTGGGTTCATCTAATTGTTGATGGCTAATATTTGTTCATGGTGGGCTGTGCAAAAACACAGCAATACAGAGCGATGGCCCTCACCTCTAACATAACCCTGCCTCTAACCATGACCCCGCCTCTCCAACATGACCCCGCCTCTTATATCACCCTACCTCTAACATAAGCCCGAATCTTCAACAAAACCCTGCCCCTAGAACATGACCCCTCCTCTACACAATGATCCCGCCTCTAAACCATGACCTCGCCTCTCACATGACCCCACTCTATAACATGCCTCGCCTCTTAAATGATCCCACCTCTAACATGACCCCACTTTTTACATGAACCTGCCTCTCTAGGAGTCTCTGCCTCTAACATGACCCTACCTCTTACATGGCCCTGCTTCTACAACATGACCCCCCCTCTGCAACATGACCCCGGCTTTTAACATGATCTCACCTCTAACATGACCCCACCTCTTTCATGACCCTGTCTCTGTAAAGGACCCCACCTCCCTGACATGACTTTGCCTCTATAACATGACCCCACCTCTCTAATCTGACCCCAGCTCTAAACCATAACACCGCCTCTACATGACTTGCCTCAATAACATGACCCAGCCTCTAACATGACCCACCTCTAACATGACCTCACCTCTACGACATGACCCTGCCTCCACAACATGACCCACCTCCAACATGAACCTAACTCTTACATGACCCTGCCTCTTAAAAATGACACTGCCTCCCTGACATGACCCTGACTGTAACATCACCCTACCTTTTACATGACCCCGCCTCTTCAACACGACCCACCTCTCTAACATGAACCTGCCTTTAAATCATGACCCCACCTCTAGAACATGACCCCACCTCTACAAAATGACCCCCACCTATAACATGACCCCTTCTCTAACATGACCTCGCCTCTTAAAAATAGACCCTCCTCTACAACATGACCCTTCCTCTTAACAATGACCCCTCCTTTACAACATGAAACAGCTTCTTACATGATACCGCCTCTTCAACATGACCCAGCCTCTAGCATGACCCCACCTCTTAGCTATGACCCTGCCTCACCAACATTTTCCAGTCTCTTTAACATGAACCTGCCTCTAAACCATGACACCGCCTGTCTAATATGACCCTGCCTTTAACATGACCCCATCTCTACAACACGACCCAGCCTCCCTAACATGATCCCACCTCTACAACATGATTGCATCTCCAACCTGATCCCACCTCCAACATGACCCCACCTCTAACATAACCCCACCTTTCTAGAAGTCCCGCCTCTAACATGACCATGCCTCTTTAATGACCCCGCCTTTACAACATAACCCCGCCAAATATCATCCCTCCTCTACAAGATGACCTGCCTCTACACAATGACCCAACCTCTCAACCATGACCCCGCCTCTACAAAATGACCCCTCCTCTTCAACGTGACTCCAACTCTAACATGACCGCGCCTCTACAACAGGACCCCGCCTCTAACATGACCCTACCTCTACAACATAAGCCCGCCTCTAACATGACCCTGCCAAATATGATCCCACCTCTACAACATGACCCCGCCTCTTTACAATGACCAAGCCCCTAAACCATGACCTCACTGGGACTATTACAAAGTAGCCTAGACATAATAAATTTACAGGTGGGAAAGGCAGAATTACTCCTTTGTTTTAACATACATAATATGATTTCCAAGCTGTTTCATTAGTTAAATATATCCTTAATTTAGATTCATTGTGATACAGTAAATGCCTGGCTTTGCGTTTATAGAAATACCCCCTACAGTCCAAGATGCCAGACTTTTGTGCAGCACATGGATGCTCAAATGAACGTTCTGTTCAAACAAGAGTCCGTGGAATCAACTTTCACTTGTAAGAAATGACTTGAGGGACATATTTAGGATAATTGTTACTACCTTAGTTAAATTTGTATTTCTTTTTCACATTTTTTTTAACATGTTACTGTAGTTGTTCGAAAACATCTTGCGATGCAAAATCTTGGACACATCATCAGTGATAGTACCTGGGATCACGGGGGGTTTCGGGTCTTTCAACTTCAGACCCCCTCACCCAGGCGACCCGACCGGGAGTGATCAGTTCCCGGCCTGTGTTCAAGAAGCGCTCATCCACGCCTTGTCCCTCTGAATCCACAGCCATCGTGATGCTTCTGAAGCTCAGCAGATGGCTTTCCTCTTACATGCCCCTGTGATGCCTAGGAGACTGTGGGCCCTGCAGAGTGACTTCCCTGCAAAGCCCCTTCCCCCGACTGACCTCAATGGGCAGGCATCTTGCATGCCACCCCCTGTTGCGGCAGTCCTCCACCAGCTCGGCGTACTTCTCCCTCTTTCTCCCACTGGCTTCCTCCATCCTCTCCTCCCAGGGCACCGTCAGCTCCAACATGATGACCTGCTTGGAAGACTCTGATTGTAGGACTATGTCTGGTCTCAGGCTGGTTTCCGTGATGTTCTAAGGGAACTTAAGCTGTTTTCCGAAGTCCACCCTCAGCTGCCAGTCCTTTGCTGTTCCCAGGAGTCCTGTTTGGGCCTTTGGTTGGGGAGGAGGTTTTTTCCCCAGCCCTCACAAATGCTATTCTGTGCCTCAGTGGTTGCAGGTGCTTGCTGTGGTCAATGGCAGAGTGGATGGACTCAGCAACTGCCTTCAGCACCTGGTTGTGGCGCCAACGATAGCGGCAATCTCCAAGTGCCTTACGACAGCTGCTGAGGATGTGCTTCAGTGTTCCCCTCCCCTGGCACAAGGTACATGATGGAGCTTCAGCCTTGCCCCAAAGGAAGAGGTTTGACGGGCTGGGCAGGACATCATAGACAGACTGTTATTGACTTGTTATTTAAGTTTACATAATGGCATTCAAGCATAGGCTACAAGAATTACCCCAACAATATCATAATTTAGCTCTGTCTTTCTGTCTTCACCATTAATGTTAAAGGTAAGAAGGATGTAAAATGTTGTCAGTAATTCATATCTCGATATCTTCTCATGTTTTTAAGGTTTCCCCAAAACGCAGAGAAGAGGAGGCAATTGGAACTTGCTCTACAAAAGGAGCATTTTGTTTCAACTAAAAACTCCAAACTATGCTGCTAACATTTCAGGAGTGAGGATTTTGACAGGACAGGGCAGACTGTCCGGCTTAGAGCTGGTGTTGTGCCAACCATTTTCAACTTCCCTGCTCATCTCCAAAGGGTATGTGTACCATTGGCCAACAAGAATTCAAGCTGTTTAAGATAGATAAATCAATGTTTTATGATTCTGCAAGTTTAGGAATACATTAAGAGTTGTGCATCAAGAACATTTTAATATTTAACTGTTTATTTTAGCCGGTAGCAACAAGAAGCACAGCTGCCTCTGGAAGAGCAGAAGAAAACCTGCCAATGGATCTGCACCAGGATGAACCTCCGCCTGATGTTGTGAGTATTTGTACACGTGTGGACTGTCACTTACAAATAAGAGCATCATATGGCTTGTCATTAAATCAGCCCCTAGGTAAGATGGCA